CCCCAAAACCCCAAAACCCCAAAACCCCAAAACCCCAAAACCCCTGGATAAGATAGATCTATTGAGTTCCTTTTAATAAAAGTTGGAGACTTAGAACTCTTGGTTGATAAACTTCTGAAGCATATCGAGGGCTCTCTTTGGTTGATCCATTGGCACCATGTGTCCTGCATCGTAGATTCTCAAGAAAGTGAAGCTACCTGATCTTTTGTACTCTCCAGCTCCTTCTCCATCGACTGTCCATTGTTGGTATTCTTCTCCTTCAAGGTAGTTGCCTCCTTCAAATCCAATGGCATGAGTCCAGGCTTCTCCTCCTCTCCAATTACAGATGAAGTCTTTATCTCCTGAGTAGACAAGAATTCCAACTCCATTGTCCAAAGCGTATTCAACCTTTGGTCTGAGATTTCTGTTGTGATCTCCCATCATGAAAAGTTGTGGTAGCTTACTGCATTGACTGTAGAATCTCTTGCCAACACCCAAGATCTGTTGAATCTCTGGTTTGTTCAAAAGAATATCCAAGTTCTCCATTGGGTAGCATCCATCACCAATACATTTCTTTCTAATATCATAAACATTGAATCTTGGGTTGATTGGGTTACCCAAGATTGTATTTGTAAGTAATTCACATGGGATATAAGCAAAGGCACCAAGATGGATACCGATAGTTTTGGCACACAGCCAATACCCAGCATCAAGTACCTTAGCATGGAAGCTTCCGATAAGTTCGTTCTCTACGGCGAATGTAGTATATTGAGGGTACTGAAGTACAGGATCAACCCATCCGTTTCCAATAGCAGATGAGATTAGGTTGATTTTTGGGTTGTCCATCTCCACAATCTTGGCAGTGATTGCTGGAATATAATGTCCAGCATAACTCTCTCCAGTGATATAAAATGGTCTACCTTGGAATTCTGGGAACTTCTCAACAAATTTCTCTAAGAACACAAAGAAGGTATCTGCAACCATCTTCTCATTCCTTGCAATGTGATCTGGCTTGTTGGTTTTACTAAATCCAGTCCCCAAAGGCTGATCGACATAGATCATGTTGGCAATCTCATTCCAGGAGTGCTCATTAGTCTCCAAAGAAAGATCATCGTTAATAGTCCAAGGACCATTCTCATAGAAGAGTCCAAGCTCAGAGGCACATCCAGGACCTCCGTTCAGCCAAAGCACCAAAGGATCATTCTCTGGGTCTTTTCTTGATCTGACAAGCCAATAGAACATTTCATCTCCAGGTTCTAGCTCAATAAGCCCTGCATCATAATCCTCTGTTTTGAAAGGATCACTAGCCAGGGCAGTAAAGGCTAACAAAGCAAACACTAAAAATACTTTCATATTTATAATAAATTCATTTTTACATTTTTTTAAAGGGGTTTTGGGGTTTTGGGGTTTTGGGGTTTTGGGG